TTGTCATGTTTTATTACCATTTTCTAAACTATAGCGAATAAACTGTGATAATGTGAGAAATGTTGAAGGTGTCTGAATACATTTTGATAAAATACTGATATATTGAGAAGTGTATTGTACATTGGGAAGTGTCATTATAGTTAGTTTGTTAGTACTTAGTTTCTTTATTTTACAAATAATAATAGTAATAAAAATAGTAACAAAAAAATTTGAGTCAGCCAGATGGCAACAGTTGGCAATGCCTCTTATAGTTAACAATATCATTTGTTTTATTTAACATTTATTTAACATGTTCTTGGCTTAACCCCAATACACTTCTCAACGTATGAATTTGACTTTGAAAATGTTTCTGTAAAATTAATGTTACAATCAACATATATTGTAATATTGTATTATCAACATTGCCATTGCATTCAGAGATAGTGAGAATGTGAAATATTGTTAAATGTAAAGTCAACCAAACAGGCGTCGCACTTCACCATCTAACAGGAGAGCAGTGTGCTTTAGTTTAGTGAAATCACTACTACATGCTTCAGACCTGTTTAGCTTGTACAGTTTAGCCTGTGTGGAAATGGCCATGCAATAGTGAACACAACGGTGACCTAAACATGGAAACATCTAAATGAACTGGTTTTGTTCAAGTGAGAAATACTATTTAACATCACTGAGCCGAACTTACACACTTCAGTTTACGCCAACAAAACTCATTTTATGGGTTAAATCAAGCAGAAAGAGCTCTTTAAGGTAACACTTGCAGGTCAATACTTTTAACAGTGAAGAGTGAATGTGTTCAATAAAACACTTTAGTCGTTTAACACACTGAAATGTTTCAATGCAATTTAGAGGCTCCATTTTGTTTAAGGTTATTATCAACATTGCCATTACATTCAGAAATAGTCAGAATATGCTAAACGTAAATGCAAACTGTACATTGCTAAATGTAAAGGCAACCAAACAGATCACGTCACACTTCACCATCTAACTGGGGACCATTTTGATCTTTGGAGGCCAAATATTTATCTAACTATGCAACAGATGATGTAAAAATGGCTTAAATTACATTTTACGTGACTAATAGTATTTCTGATGGCAAGAACTGGTGTTTCAGTGTTATTATCAGCATTGTTGTTTCAGAGATAATATGATTGTGAAATGCGAATGCAACGACTCTTTGGCAATTTCATGTTGACTTTGAAAATGTTCAATTGGCTCAATTAAATGATCTGAACTGGATGTTTTTGTAAACACTTTTACCAGCAACTTATCATTTCAGAGCAACGATCAACACAAAACCTTTGAAGAGCTGGCTTTTAAGTGTGCTTTCTGCTTGAGTATTTTAGTTTAGAGTTTGTGTTTGTTTGATTCTATTTAGATTGAAATAGTTCTTGTACTGGCTTCAGTTTTGGCATTTCATTTTAACCCTCAAAGACCCAAGGAGAGAAAAACACAGTGAATAGTTTTTTCAGCTTTTACATGTTGTTTTTGTAGGCCTCTAATGCAGAAATAAATGGGGTTTTTGCATTTTTGACAGTTTAGGAAGTGTTTAGGGAAATGTTGTAATCCTGCAACGTCGGGCCTTTGGGTAGCAGATATCACTCTCTGTCTAAACAAATGTAAAGGACATCTAAGGGTATATGTGTGGGGTGTACAGCTTATGTAGACCCATAACATATATCGATACACTAACCATCAACCCAATAATGATAATCATACAAATCATATTT